TGTGTCCGAGTGTATAACAGAGCTTCACAGCAATAATACTCCCAGTAATGTGTCTAAGTGTATAACAGAGCTCCACAGCAATAATACTCCCATTAATGTGTCTGTGTGTATAACAGAGCTCCACATCAATAATACTCCCAGTAATGTGTCTGAGTGTATAATGGAGCTCCCCAGCAATAATACTCCCAGCAATGTGTCTGAGTGTATAACAGAGCTCCACAGTAATAATACTCCCAGTAATGTGTCTGAGTGTATAACAGAGCTCCACAGTAATAATACACCCAGTAATGTGTCTGAGTGTATAACAGAGCTCCACAGCAATAATACTCCAGTAATGTGTCTGAGTGTATAACAGAGCTCCACAGCAATAATACTAATACTCCACAGCAATAATACTAATGTGTCTGAGTGTATAACAGAGCTCCACAGCAATAATACTCCCAGTAATGTGTCTGAGTGTATAACAGAGCTCCACAGCAATAATACTCCCAGTAATGTGTCTGAGTGTATAACAGAGCTCCACAGCAATAATACTCCCAGTAATGTGTCTGAGTGTATAACAGAGCTCCACAGCAATAATACTCCCAGTAATGTGCCTGAGTGTATAACAGAGCTCTACAGCAATAACACTCCCAGTAACGTGTCTGAGTGTATAACAGCTCCACAGCAATAATACTCCCAGTAATGTGTCTGAGTGTATAACAGTAAGCTCCACAGCAATAATACTCCCAGTAATGTGTCTGAGTGTATAACAGAACTCCACAGCAATAATACTCCCAGTAATGTGTCTGTGTATAACAGAACTCCACAGCAATAATACTCCCAGTAATGTGTCTGAGTGTATAACAGAGCTCCACAGCAATAATACTCCCAGTAATGTGTCTGAGTGTATAACAGAGCTCCACAGCAATAATACTCCCAGTAATGTGTCTGAGTGTATAACAGAGCTCCACATCAATAATACTCCCAGTAATGTGTCTGAGTGTATAACAGAGCTCCACAGCAATAATACTCCCAGTAATTGTCTGAGTGTATAACAGAGTGTATAACTGAGTGTATAACGGAGCTCCACAGCAATAATACTCCCAGTAATGTGTCTGAGTGTATAACAGCTCCACAGCAATAATATTCCCAGTAATGTGTCTGAGTGTATAACAGAGCTCCACAGCAATAATATTCCCAGTAACGTGTCTGAGTGTATAACAGAACTCCACAGTAATAATACTCCCAGTAATGTGTCTGAGGTATAACAGCTCCACAGCAATAACACTTGTAATGTGTCTGAGTGTATAACAGAGCTCCACAGCAATAATACTCCCAGTAATGTGTCTGAGTGTATAACAGCTCCACAGCAATAATACTCCCAGTAATGTGTCTGAGTGTATAACAGAGCTCCCCAGCAATAACACTCCCAGTAATGTGTCTGAGTGTATAACAGAGCTCCACAGCAATATACTCCCAGTAATGTGTCTGAGTGTATAACAGAGCTCACAGCAATAACACTCCCATGTGTCTGAGTGTATAACAGAGCTCCACAGCAATAATACTCCCAGTAATGTGTCTGAGTCTATAACAGAGCTCCACAGCAATGATACTCCCAGTAACGTGTCTGAGTGTATAACAGCTCCACAGCAATAATACTCCCAGTAATGTGTCTGAGTGTATAACAGAGCTCCACAGCAATAATACTCCCAGTAACGTGTCTGAGTGTATAACAGAACTCCACAGCAATAATACTAATACTCACAGTAATGTGTCTGTGTGTATAACAGAACTCCACAGCAATAATACTCCCAGTAATGTGTCTGAGTGTATAACAGAGCTCCACAGCAATAATACTCCCAGTAACGTGTCTGAGTGTTTAACAGCTCCACAGCAATAATAATTCCAGTAATGTGTCCTGAGTGTATAAATAGAGTCCACAGCAATAATGACCCCCAGTAAATGTGTCTTGAGTATATAACAGAGCTCCACAGCACAATAATCCCAGTAATGTGTCTGAGTGTATAACAGAGCCCCCAGCACACACGCCCAGTAATGTCCGAGTGTATAACAGAGTCCACAGTGATACACACCCCAGTACGTGTCTGAGTGTATACCAGAGCTACACAGCTATAATACTCCCAGTAATGTGTCTGAGTGTATAACAGAGCTCCACAGCAATAATAATTCCAGTAATGTGTCTGAGTGTATAACAGAGCTCCACAGCAATAATACTCCCAGTAATGTGTTAAAAGAGAACTCCACATCAATAATACTCTCAGTAATGTGTCTGAGTGTATAACAGAGCTCCAAAGCAATAATACTCCCAGTAATGTGTCTGAGTGTATAACAGAGCTCCACAGCAATAATAATTCCAGTAATGTGTCTGAGTGTATAACAGAGCCCCACAGCAATAATACTCCCAGTAATGTGACTGAGCGTATAACAGAGCTCCCTAGCAATAATACTCCCAGTAAAGTGTCTCAGTGTATAATGGAGCTCCACAGCAATAATACTCCCAGTAATGTGTCTGAGTGTATAACAGAGCTCCACAGCAATAATACTCCCAGTAATGTGTCTGAGTGTATAACAGAGCTCCACAGCAATAATACTCCCAGTAATGTGTCTGTGTGTATAACAGAGCTCCACAGCAATAATACTCCCTGTAATGTCTGTGTGTATAACAGAGCTCCACAGTAATAATACTCCCAGTAATGTGTCAGAGTGTATAACAGAGCTCCGCAGCACACACACCTAGTAATGTCTGTGTGTATAACAGAGCTCCACACATCACACACACCCCAGTAATGTGTCTGAGTGTATACTGAGCTCCACAGCAATAATACTCCCAGTAATGTGTCTGAGTATATAACAGAGCTCCACAGCAATAATACTCCCAGTAATGTGTCTGAGTGTATACTGAGCTCCACAGCAATAATACTCCCAGTAATGTGTCTGAGTGTATAACAGAGCTCCACAGCAATAATACTCCCAGTAATGTGTCTGAGTGTATAATAGAGCCCCACAGCAATAATACTCCCAGTAATGTGTCTGAGTGTATATAGGAGCTCCACAGCAATAATACTCCCAGTAATGTGTCTCAGTGTACAATGGAGCCCCCAGCACACATCCTGTGCAATGTGTCTGAGTGTATAACAGAGCCCCACAGTAATAATACTCCCAGTAATGTGTCTGAGTGTATAACAGAGCTCCACAGCAATAATACTCCCAGTAATGTGCCTGAGTGTATAACAGAGCTCTACAGCAATAACACTCCCAGTAACGTGTCTGAGTGTATAACAGAACTCCACAGCAATAATACTCCCAGTAATGTGTCTGTGTGTATAACAGAACTCCACAGCAATAATACTCCATGTGTGTATAACAGAACTCCACAGCAATAATACTCCCAGTAATGTGTCTGAGTGTATAACAGAGATCCACAGAAATAACACTCCCAGTAATGTGTCTGAGTGTATAACAGAGCTCCACATCAATAATACTCCCAGTAATGTGTCTGAGTGTATAACAGAGCTCCACAGCAATAATACTCCCAGTAATTTGTCTGAGTGTATAACAG